CCCCCTTCCGAGACCTGGGCCTTGGATAATGAGAAGAAGAGGAGAGTATTCCCAGGACACCTTAGAGCAGGTAATGCTGTCAGAGCAGCAGGAGAGCTGGTGCAAGATGTTTTCATTCTTATTAGGGACATATGAACACTGAAAAAACTGAAACGTTGACTTAACTTAATATTATACACATTTAATTAAAATCAATTAAAAAAATCAATGTTTCAGTTTTTTCAGTTTAGGTTGCACATTTGGTTTAATGAAAGCTAGGGCAGCAATCCCATAAGAAATAAAGTGTAGTGATTTATCATGAATTGAATAACACTCCCCCTTACTCTAAATCCAGCTGTGTGTGGAAGGTGAACACCCCTCTCTCTGGCTGGTGCAGACTCCACGGCACATACCTGCAAGGATACATGATGTTGTTTGTTAACATTCAAGCAGCAGAGGTTAAAGTATAAGTACCAGGGTGAAGGAATACTGTTACAAGTAAAAGTCCTGTATTCAAAATGTTACTCAAAAGTAGAAAAGTATTAGCATCAAAATATAAAAAAGTAGTCATTGTGCAGATTGGTCCATTTCAGAATAATATATATTATATGTTATATAATTATTGATCATTAAAGTGTTATCAAGGCTGGTAAAGGTGCAGCTAGTTTGAATGACTTTGTATACTGCAGGGTANCATTCATGCCTTCTGTATATGCACATGCAGCACATTCCAATTCCTTCCTGTGGCCATCATGTGAGGAGAAGAGATAAGAACAAAGGATGGGCGATGTGAGGGTGTGAGTGTATGAGAGCATTCCTTTCCTACCAGAGACAGAAAACGCATTTGTTAATTCCAGTATATTTAGTCATACCATCTGGAGAGAAGCTATGGAGTTAAATATCAAGGCTTTCTGCCTCTCTGATTGTGTTAGTGATGACCCTGGCAGACAGTGGGGTCTCTACATATGATGCAGTTTAGAGTGGGATTGCCTCATGGCCTACCTCGCACATATCACATATCGAATCATGTCCCGGGAGCATTTAGGGTAACCCCTGAAGGTGGTTTGAGGATCTCTAATGCTTCAGGTTGCATTGGCTGTTTTTGTCTGGATAGCTGCAATTATGTATACAGTGGGATAAGTGCAAATGGGATAATAGAAAAGACCATACTCACACAAACAATTAGGGCTGTGTTATTATGGCAAAAAATCCTAATCACGATTATTTCTGGTCAATATTGATATCACGATTATTAAATACGATTACTCATTGCTTTGGAAAACATCAATTTATTGAACTTTAAAACAAATTAAAATAATAATTTGAACAGTATGTTTTTAACAGTTGAATACCCTGAACTTTAAGTATAATTCAACTGAAAAACCAATACAAAAATAAAATTATACATTTATATCCACATTTAAATAAATAACATCAAAATAATAAATACCAATAAAGAAGATAAACAAATATTTAGGAGCGCACTTCCACAACCTACAAAACATATATAAATATGATAACTAATGTCACTCATAAGTAACCTGTAATGTTTAATTATACTGCTACACACAGTACTCTTATTTTGGTAACCCCTTATCCGGAAACCGGAAGTAGCTAAGAGGCTCCGGCTTGACGAGTTAGTAAAAGTTGACTGTACGCTAGAGACCGGAGAATAAAAACACGGCAACTAAAGCCTCCCTTGTAACGTGTTTATATGGATTTATTAAACAGACTGCAAGTCACAACACAGCCTGGCCGAGAGGGCTTTTAGGGAGGGCTGCAAGCGCACGCGCGAGCAGGATGTATAACGCAAGACAAATTGAGAGCATCATTGCGAAAGGGAATGCAGCAAAATAATCGTTTTTTTTCGATTACGTTGTTTTCATAATCGTTGCAAGCCAAAATCGAGATTAAAATACGATTGATTGCAGTGCATGACATTAAGGATTTTGTAAATCCCTGTGGGCCATCTAAGCTAATTTACAGATGGCCCTGAGCCCAATAGAGATTTCCCTGAAAAATGCGCGCGGACGAAATGGCACGAAGGGTTTGGGGGGCCTTCCCCTAGAACATTTAGATTTTGCAGGTCTTACTGTAGATGCTGTCTGGTGCATTCTCTAGACTGAATTATAAGATGAACCACTAGGCCTGTCACGATAATTAATTGTGTTGGACGATAAATTTTTCTGGAAATTATTGCGATAAACGATAATATTGTCGGCACCGTTTTAAGACCATTTTAGACATAATGATAATATATAATAATAATTCAAGTACATCCTTTCAAACATAACTTTTTATTGAACATTCAACATTGCAAATGAAATGTAAAATAATGTGTAGATAATGGCTCCCAAAGTGGGTAGGTCTCAGGACGAAACGCTTGCGGCTCCGTGTGTATGCCCTATACGATCATTTCCTTTCGCCAACAACAACAACAACGGCAGATCACAGGGTTGCGTTCGTGCTCCAGACGCTACTGACCATGATACAGATTTTAGTGCAAAATCTACAGCTCCTCTACCACAACCATCAGCAATAATAATGATATTATATAATAATAATAATAATAATAATAATAATAATCGTCATCGGTCTTATTCGCTGCTTTTGGTGTATTTTGTGGCGGAAGTACAGCGCCACTTACAGGCCCGGCATATGTACTACAGCGTCTCCAGCGTTTTCGTGTGGACGGACACGTTTCTTGAGCCGTTTTCGTGTGGACGGAAGACTTTTTGGAAAACGACTAAGGTTCATTCTTGTCTCCGTTTTGTCTCCGTGTGGACGTGGCCTTAGATTCAACATTGTATAAGCTGCTGTGGGAAACAGTGGGAGACTGTGGGAGGGAAATTATAACCTGGACTAAATCTAAGCACAAACATACATCGAGTTCTAGATTAATTGACGTAAATTCCAAGAAATCGCTGGAAATGTTTTCAGTGACAGCAAAGAATTTCACAGTACATGTAGATCTATATAGATAAGGAAGAATCTCGAAGATCTTGCATCAATCTTCCAGTAACCTAAGTGTACATATTTCCTCAATTGAATAATGATTATTCAAGTCAAGGACTAATTATGGTTTATTTGGGTTCATATTTTTGAACTTTTTTCCAATATTTCTATCACCTATGAAAGTAATAATGTTTTCAAAAAAAGGAATAACCGAGAAATTAGAACATGTTCTTTGCCGGGGCGACAGTCTGTATAGAGACTCAGATTGGGAACTATAGGGTCGCTAGGGGCACTGTATAGTATCTGCCCCATTCCTCTTAATACGATGATGGATACAAATGAAGAGACAAATGCTAAAGTTAGCTGCTATTAAAAACCAAACAAGAAAAATACGAGGTCTGAGCATGTGCAGTAGCCAACGTTCAACAGCCCATCCTCAAGTGGATTGACACTGAATAAGAAACTCAGCAAGGAGGAGAGGCCACTTGGATTTTCACCATTTCTTGGTATAAAGTATAGACTGTGTACAAGAAAACCACCTCGTCAAATATTACAAAAACAGCACTACAACAATAAAATGTTCAGCGCCAATATGAAAAACTCAAAGTTAGAGTTTATTCTATTACAGCAGACTGGTGGAGATAAACCACTCCTCCTGGTAACTGATTTCTGCACATGGTGATTAGGGGCTTTACAAGGCAGACACGTGTTCAATTGATCTGAGATCGGACATGCATCAAACCAGCCCACAGTTCTATATGGCTGGATGTGTAGGTGGGTAGAGCAGGGCCAAGTATTTGTGTAGACATGGGTGTTAAAACCAATCGTTTGAGAAGTAGTTTTAGTAGTTTAACTAACCTCAGAGAAGTTTCAAAGGAAAGTCTCAAATAAGATCAAACACTAAGCTAGATCTTAATCTTTCTGAGTAGCATGCCAGTAATATTTTCAAACACAGAATGAGATTTAAATTAAATCAGTTTTTCTGTTCAGATTTCCTTAACTCTATCTGATTCTCGATGTGTCAAATGTGCTGGGGGCTCCAATTCCGCATCTTATCCACTGCCATGGGAGATAATATCATCAAAGACTGGAGTCATACACACACTGACACATCAGACACACAAAGACGGCAAAGATGTTACAGCCTTTAACACAAAATGTAATGCGACACATCCAAGATGGACTGAGGATAGGATCATCCAATCCACTTTGAGTACAGCTGGTCCCAACATATTTGCACTGAGATGGCATAGCTTCGCAGTTTCTAAACGATTTAACAATGTGCCTCTTAGGCCTGTCACGATAATTAATTTTGTTGGACGATACATTTTCCCGGAAATTATTGCGATAAACGATAATATTGTCGGCACCTTTGTAAGACCATTTTAGACCACTGAAATAATGATATAATAATAATTCAAGTACATCCTTTCAAACTGAACTTTTTATTGAACATCCAACATTGCAAATGAAATGTGAAATAATATTCAAATATATGAATCATGTATAATAAATAAAAACAAATTAAATCATACAAAAATTATTAAATCACACACAACCAAAACAATCAATTAAATAGACTCAGGCTGGAAAACAGAGCTCTCTCTCTCTCATATATATAAATATATATCAGCAGACATTGTCTCAGAAGCAAAAAAAAACCTCCTTAAAATAGCAGTCAAGTGTACAGTCCACTGTCCATTAGTGTTGCACGGTGTACCGATACTTGAAAGATACCGCGATACCCTGCCGTTAAAAACAGTACGATTCCTCCGTTTCATTAGTATCGGTACTTTAAGAATGACGGGGAAAAGTACTCCGTTGAGAAAGCGCCGTTTTAATAAGAGCCGTGTGTGTTCAGCGCTCTGCTTCCACTCCCTGCACTTCAGCCGTGCCTGCAGTCCCGCCCCTCTCAACCCCTCTCTCGTGCACGCGGCCACGCGCTAGCTGCCAGAGCATGTGAGAAAACTAAATGAGAAGCATGGCTGCAAGTGGGAGTGCAACTGCCGCTGCGCCTCGGCTTGTTGACAAAAAAGACGCCAGAAGCAAATTTGGAAGTATTTGAGCTATATCTCTGACAGTGAGGGCAAGCCTACGGACACCACGAGGCCTGTCTGTGAGGAATGTTTTAGATCCCTGCAAACCAAGGGAGCCAACACATCAAACTTGGCTAAGCACCCGCCGACCGGCATCCAGAGCTGTTTAAAGAATTTAAAGACAGACAGGTTAGCGAATGTGATAGATACCATAATTACATCATGCTCAAGCCCATCCCCTCAAATCTAAGTCAAACAAGTGTAATTTATTTTGTGACAAACGAACGTTTTTGTAGTTTGACGAGGCAATTAATGGAAATGATAACTGTCTAATATGGCTATCTTTTTAGCTAATTTACCAATGTGGCTAACATCTGCAATATACATTTGTCAATAATTAT